TGTCTCTCTCTCTCTGTCTCTCTCTCTCTCTGTCTCTCTCTTTCCTCCTGGCTCAGGTGTGATCAGACCAAAGGAGCACCCAGTAGCCATACCATATCCCTACCTCTGTGTCTTGATTCAGGAAAAGTGAAAAACAAAACAAAATAAAACAAAACAAAAAACAAAACAGGCAGTTAGAAAGAGGAGGGTGGGATTCTAGAATTTGAAGGAAATCAGCAACTTCAGAAAATCTCCTGTTCCTCTCTTGCCCACGCTGGGGAATATAAAGTTCAGACCCCGGATGCAAAAAGAAACCCTCACTAAAAACAAATGTCTGTAACAAGAGCCCACTGTGTACCTGTCCAAAATAGAAATCATTACAAATAACTGAATGAAGACAATCGTACAAGCATCTAAAAATACATATTTTTGAATAAAAGAAAAAAATTTGAAAAGGAGGGTAATGAACAAAAATGCTATCATGCTTCATAACAATGGCATATTTATTTATTTGAAAAACCTACTGCCCTCCCAGACAAGTAGATCTACCTCTGCCTTAGATATTGTTTCTGTTTGTTGGCATATGACTTTCTTTAGGTCTACACTGTAGCCACTGTTTAGTTCCTAGTGGCAAGTACACAACCAGGGCCGTCAAACACAGCCTCTAAGGTTAAGTTCAAAGAGACTCCGGGGAGGGGGAAATCAAGAACAAATAAGTGAAATTCATGCTCAAGGTGGCGGCGGCGGCAGGGTGTGTGTGTGTGTGTGTGTGTGTGTGTGTGTGTGTGTGTGTGTGTGTGTGTAGCACATCATCCTGTTTCTTTGTTTCTGCTTAAGACTCTGCTTGAGATGGTTTCCTTTAGAGACAAAAGCCACCATCCTTTCTAAACAAAGCACCTCAAATCTGAAGAATAGCAGGCATCAAGCCCTTAGCTTAGAATAGTTGTCATTTCTCATCGCATGTTATGTAAAATTCATCTTCGGTGGCTTGAGATTCACTTTCTGTTTGCTATATGCTATTAATATTGAAAAGTTAGATTGAAAAGATTTTTTAATAATCACGTCCAATAAAGAAATGCAAATCTCAGCCTTAGCTCTGGATAGAGGTTTATAGAGAAGCACGTTAGTGGGTTCCTAGGGTAGGACTGAAAATTCAGGCAGGCTTGTGCCTCAGAGTCACAGTCCTTCTTCAGATATGTTACTACCCACAAACAGGGGGCTTCTTGGGCCACTGTTTGTCTTAGGACAAGGATAAAGAAATAATGTCATGAGGAGAAAATCCCAGTCAGGCTTTGGAATGCTGCGCATTGACTGTCACATTCATTTCCAAGTGACAGTGAGCTTTTTAAATGCAGCTTGGCTAACTCTGCGGTGTTAAAAATAAACATTTTGGCTCCACTAACTTTTATTTTTTTAGTAGGATTCTCCAATGAGGAAAATACCACATACCTGGTGACTTTTGCAGTTAATAACGTGAACCCAGGAAACCCCCTAAAAGGAAATCTTAACTCTAAGGATTCCAGCTCAGTGCCACCGGTTCAGTGATGATGGTCCCCAACCCACAGATTGTTATTGTCTCCTTCCATCACCTAAATTCTTCCCACTTGCTGTCATGCCTCCAGATAACAGACACGTGGAGATGAAATGTGATTTTAAATGAACATTTACTCGTCTCTCTATTTTATTCTTGGTTTTTATTGCTTTTTTTTTTTTTTTTTTCGCCAAGCCAGTGATGAAAGGTTACTCTCTGGAAGATTTAGCCAGTGAAACGCATAGGATGAAAACCTGAACCCCCGCAGTCAGACACAGAAAGAGCAAAGGAGAAAAATGGGGGAAAATATCCCATCGGGCTGCAGCGTTTGAGCGTCTGTAGGAATGATGTCATTTGTTTTCACAAAACCCAGTTTAAATTTGTTCCTGCCTTTCCAGAACTGCAGCGCTGAGCATCTGTGGAGACTTCTGCAGACTATATTTCAGGCGTTCGAGAGTGCGCGCTGCATCAAAATCCAACCAATAGCAGGGGGGGAGCCTTGCCCTCCCTAGCCTCGATTTGTTTCCCCTACCTGAAGCCAGGGTGTGCTGCAGCTGCGAGGTGACCGCCCTCCAGGCCCCTCCTGCTCTGCTCCAACTGCAAAAGCGTGAAGGCAAGCTACAAATGGTTTACAGGAGACCCTTGCCAAAATCAAGGCTGACTTCTGGCCACCCTCGCATGTTCGTTTCACCGGCAGGTGACCTCCAAGGGAAGGCGTGTGTGTAAAGGAGGGTTTGGTTTGGGAGGTTTTTTAATTCAAACTCAGCCGTTTATTCTGCAGCCCCCGTGCAACGCGGGAACCGTCCTAGGAAGTGAGAAGGAACTATACAGGGATCCTGGGCCGCTGGACCCTCAGTGGCAGAAAGAGAGCGTCTGAATTCTGTAGCTGTAATTATCGTTCACAAAGTCAACCCATTTCCGTGTGTATATTTGTAGAGGATGATTGGGAAATATGCACTGGAGAAAGATCGCTAGTTCAATCACAAAAAATCAATGGGTTAGATACCAAGTGGAAAGGAAAGCGCTGAGTGGCACATCACCTTTCTGTCCCTCAGTCCTTTCCCTCCAGAAAGAAATACAGCTATTGACAATACATTCAGTGTGGGCTCTTTTGTTGGAGCAGCAGAAACTGAACTCTGGCTAGTTTCTTACTGAAAGCCTGTGAGGACATTTACAGAATAAAAAGAAGGCTGAAGAAACCTACTTAACAGAGGACAGGCCAGCCTGTGTCGGGGTCTCTATAGCAGACCCAGCAGCCAGCACCATCAGTTACCATTGCTAGGTGGACGATTGGTAGGAGTTTCTCTTCTCATCATCCTCAAATGGCCTGAGTCAACAGGGTGTCCCTTTGTCAATGGGCACATGCCTGTAAGGTTTTGAAAAAGTGGAGTCCTCAATTTGCTGATTCACAGGGTCACCTGGCGGCTTCTAAAAGAATGGGGAGAATGGAAGGTCTTTCTCCTCCATTGACACGTTTACGGCTGTGGATCTGACTGCTATAATCTCGCCTGGGTTGATGGTTATTCATTCCCTTTCATTAGTTTTCATTACTGTACCTGGAATCCAGGGTCTCATGGATGCCAGGGAAGCACTCCACCTCTGAGCTACATCCCCAACCCTCATCTCCTTTCAAAATTCATCTTTGAGAGACATGAAGACAGGACTTGAACTTGCAAACTTCCTGCCTCAGCCTCCTGAGAGGTTGGGATTATAGGCATATGCCACCATACCAGGCTAACTCGGATTTGCAACCTTCTTTGTCAGGGCTACCTTTTTGTGAAGGTCCAATGATGTTTGAAACAGAAGTGGTATTGAATTATACCAGGACAAGAGGCATGGGCTTTGGCAGTCCTTGGCAACTAAGGTGTGTGTGGCTCTGCTTTCCCTTTTCATAATTGTGTTTTCTCAGATCAATTTAAGGAAAGCCAAATGCTCCTTAAGGAATGAAAAAGGCCGCCTTCTTCTCTATGTCCCCAACATCTCTTTTGTGCTTGGCATGGGACATAGCTTATGCATCATTACAATGCAATTATTAAACTCATATGATTCTCTCTCATGCCCATTTTTCAGTGTATCTGAGGGGTATGCTATCTCCAATACTCACAGTGGGGGTCATAGCCAACTCCCTTTTCTCTTTGCATCATAGAAATGGATAAAGAACTAAATGATCCCAAACATTTCTATTTATGGAAAATACTGTTACTTAATGAGGAAATGACATTTTGGCAAACAGGAAGGCAAAATATTTATGTATTTTAAAAGATTGGTATCCGTTGAAAGGTCTTTAAACAACAACACTTAAAGCCAGGGTGGCCTTTACAGAATGCCTATTTTATGAAACATAGGTGGGCACTACAATATAGCATTACTAGCCAGTAGCTCATTTCATGTGTTCTTGGATTTTGTCTACCTACATGTCTCTAGCTGGTCTTTCAGAGAGATACAACCTTCAGATTTCAAGAACCACTGAGTTGTACTCTCACCTTCCAAGCCAGTGAGTCTCAAACCTTCCTAATGTTGGGACCCTTTAATATAGTTCCTCATGTTGTGATAACCTCCAATCATAACATTATTTTGTTGCTACTTCATAACTATAATTTTGCTACTTTTATGAATAATAATGTAAATATCTGATATGTGACTCCCCAGGTTAAGAACCATTGTTAAAGCTCACTGGTAAAAGAGATCTGCCTTGGATTGCATTTTCTGGGGCCGGCTCTGCCCTGAGGATTAGTCACAAGGATTTGTAATGGGTCTGGTTCAGTGTCAGGGTATGCTTTCAGATGGTCACTCCAACAATGTCTTCCTTCAAGAGCACTGTGTCCAGGAATCCCTGAATTTCCCTGCACAGTTGCAGCTGAGAGTGAAGATCAAAGAAGCTTCTTCGATCAAGCAGAGTCACAAGCAAATGCCTCTCAGACACATTTGAAGACCAACGTAAGAGACTAATGAGTTGTGCTTACTCCAGGCTCATTCCTCTTTTGTTTCCTGCTGGGCACTGTGGGCATGGGGAACCCACGTCTAATGAGCCATAGATGGATGCACTGCAGCTCTGTGATAAAGGCACAAGTGCAAACCAAGGCCCCTAGGACAAATAACACCTGCATCAGAAAAGCAGGTCATCCCATAATGTGGGAGGTTGTCACGGTTCCCTACCTTCTCCGCACTATTTTCCTTTGGTGGAAACGCTTTTCCTATCAGTCATTCTAAAGCACCGTCCCCTCATCCCCTTCATCCAAGGACATTATGGTCCCACTTGTCATGCGATGTTGGTTGTCCCATTCAGAACTCATGAAGTGGAAAGCAAAGCATAGGATGTTACTGAGATACAGTTCTATCTTTTAAGGTTCTACAAGGACTAATAGTTCTATTAAAGCAATGATATGGAAAATTGTGGTCATAAAAGGAAAATGAGTCATATTTACATTATGCTGACTAATATTTTTAATTTAAATAGGATTTATTTTAGAATAGAAACTACTTGGCATTCAGATTATTAACTCGAGAGGGAAAAAAATGCATGAACTGTGGCATATTGACAGGAGACTAATTTCCTGTAAGGGGGAAGAGTAGCTTGGAATGATCTAGAAAGCATGGGAGGGAAATGGCCAACTCGACTGTAATGCAAAGCGAAAGAACATATGTGAAGCGGAGAGCGATGTGTTCTTGACTAACTCAGCAGAACAACTTTCAAGCAGGACAGTGAAATTTTAGTGACATGACGTGTGTTAGTGCCAAGTGAACATTAGCGTCTACAAAACACACTTGTTTATCTTGTGTGAAATGATCCAATATGTAGACATTTTGTGTGGTTTGTTGTGACAGATACTCTGAGTGTAGATGCACTTCTCTGAGCCCAAGGGCCTGAGTTAAGGTGAAACCTGAGTGCAATCCAGATATTTCCATGAGCAGAGTTGGAAAATCGTAGTTCAGTATTCTTCTCTTGCCCATTGATGCTTTCCTTAGTGCCAGGAGGCCACTAAGGCATTGCTTTCTCAGTCCTCGATTGTCTGGGTGATTGTTTTCTAGTGTCCATGTTTCCAGGATAGACACTGGCCTGACTGATATTAATAACACTTTAAAATCCTCACATCTGCAGAGTGACGTGAAAGGAAATGAAAAAGCTGCATCTCCATTGGTTATGTTTGTTATCGAGTTCACAGTTTCAAAATATGATACAAAATTTAAAAGTTACTCAGATATTCCATCATATACACATCATCAATTAGAGATGGATTATTTGCTCATATTTAACTTTTTTTCCACTTAATTTCATACATCTGCTAAGTCACCAAAGTTCACAAAAGATATAGCTTATTTTCAAATTGTTTTTATTAAGTTATTTATCAAGACTGAAAAAATAGTCTCTCTTTCTCAGGCTTAAACTCTGTAAGGATGAGATCTATGTACTGTCTATTTATAATAAATATTGAAACTTTACTCCATTGCTTACAGTGCAGTGGGATTCACTCAATGATATCAGCTACATTCGGTGCCAGCCCTTCAAAAGGAATCTCTTCCATCTCCCTAGAAAGATCTCTATAGGAAAACTTGTTTGCGAAATGACTGAAGCTCCCTTAACAAATAAAACACAACAGTGTTTGTTGCTCTTTTTCTCTGAAGTGATGACAAATTGCCGAGGAGTGAAAGCCTTCAGACTAATAACAGAGGAAAATTGACTCTAAGATCCCATCATTTTGTTTACCAGCTGTCTTTACAATCCTATAATAACCCAGCCCACGTTTAAAAAAAATGTTCAGAGATAGTAAAATAGACCAGAAACAAACGATCTCTCTGCTGGAATTAGTTTACGCATGGGAACAGGCTGGAAAGAAAAATATGATTCAGAAACTTACCTAGCTCTCAGGCATGAGACCCGGTGACCACATACTCGGGCTGAAGCACAACTCAGGAGCATTACATCATCGTGACAAACTTTCATTGGCTGCAGAAACCCCAAGGATAACACAGGCTTGTAAGGTGCTGTGTGAAAGCCCCCGGTGGCTTTCTTTATCAAGGTTACAGCTAAAATACTGAGAGCTAGACTTTACCTTCCTTAAGCCTGTCCTGGCCAAACTGACAAGACATTGTTAACCATTTCTGAACATGTTTATCTTCACTTTAGTAATTAGTTTTCTATTTAACTCTAACCTGTGAGGACATTTTTTTTTTCTTGTTAAAATTTTCCTTTAAAAATGGTTTTGACATTAGCTTGTTTTAATCTAAGGTTTGCCGCATCATTCTGTATGAATGACAGAGGCCCCTAATTAGTCTTGAGGCCATCATTATTATTTTAAATACCTTATTTAATTAATGAATCCATTTCATCTAATTGACTTAGTTTGTCCTTATTTATCTCTAAGAGGAGGGACAGGTACCCCCACATTTATTTATAGAAATCTGAATGGAAGTAGTACACGCAGTCCTCGCTTCTGAATCATTCATTTTCACTGTCAGATTTTTCCCCCTTGTATTGAACTGTAGAAGTTATTTATTTCCTGCTATTAAAATGGTGACTTAAAAACTGAACCATGTGTATAATTTGAAAGGAGGAGGGAATGGACGGGGTAAGGGGTGCCTCTGCTATCCATCCTCACTCTGCATTCATCCTCACTGCCTCTGGGGGAGGGATTTACTAAAGGAGAAACTACTGCCACAAAAGGTGGCACCGTTGGACAGTCTGATCTATCATTTAGGAAGCAACAGTAAGTACTGTGACATCACTAGTTACTGAAGGTCTGCCTACCTCCGATTGATCCTCTCTGTTTCTGTGTCTGCCTCCATCATACACTCAGGGAAGCAGAGAAGGGATAGACTTCAGGCAGGAGGAAACTTACGTATTTTTTTTTTTTTTTTTTAGAAAGGTTCTCTCTGTGCAACCCTGGCTGTCTTGAAACTCTATGTAGACCAGGCTGTTCTTGAACTCACAGAGATCTGCTTGGCTCTGATTCCTGAGGGCTGGGATTAAAGTCATGTGCCACCATGTGCTTAGCTCAATTTATTTTTAAAGTAAATGTTCACACCTTCTTCTTAATACTTGATTCTCTAATCTCTTGAAGACAAGCAGATAGTGCACATGTACTAATACCCTTTGAAATTCTCAGAGCTAAGAACTAAGAAATACATTTCTAATGTTTGTCTGGGCCTCAACATCTTTGTAAGTAAGGTATCTTGGTCATACCCACAGACTTCTATTCTAATCTGTGTCTTGAAGGAGACTAGTCTGCCTCTGCAAGAGCCATAGTTACTGAGAATGTGACTTCCAGGGCATCTGACTCTTAGACTCTGCCTTACACATACTAACTAGTGACTATTTCCTGGAAGAATATTGAGGACTCAGGTACTCCCATTTGAGTTTTTATATATTTGAGAATGGGAGAGGGGTGAGAGGAAGGAGAACAGGAGAAGGAAGAAAAGGAGGAGAGGAGAGAATTTCATTTTGGAGTGGAGACAGGCAAACAATAGTCCCTGATCCTTGTCAAAGTTAGATAAAAATGTAACAGTTGCATACAATCACAGGGTGTATCTATCAATCAGAATGGACTGGAAGCTTCACAACAATGGGTGGCTGGATTTATGTTTGAAGAAGGAAGAGTTGCTTAACCAAAGAGAAAAAAAAACATTCCACAAGAAGAAAGAAAACAGAATTCAAAGCAAGAGACACAGTGTGGGTAGAAGAAGCAGTGATATTGAAAAACAAGAAGATAATTTTCTATCTATGAAAGGGAAGAGTGATGTAGAAGCTAAGGCCAGATCCACAGATTGGGAGGACTTCTTAGCCAGAAGAAGAGACATGAACCTTAACTCCAAAGCTACTCCAGGCTGCCCCTGGCTCACAGTCAAATTTGTGACTGACTTAGTCTAGCCTAGCCTGGAATGGATGGGAGTGGGTGGGCCCAGGAACATGAGTTAGCTTATGTGCCAGTGAGAGTCATGGCAGGAAGCAGATGGCACTGTTCAAACACTGAACTAAACAGAGGCATCTGAAAGGACCATGCCCATGGGTGGGGACAGGAGAAGAAAATGAACAAAGGATGGTAAAGCAGCCAACAAGCCACAAAAGTAAAAAGCTGTTATTGCCTAGGCTCATGACTAGGAACTCACCTCAGTGTGAAGTCACAGAAGAGGAAATGTGGACGTTGCAATAAATAACATTTAGCTTCTTGAGGCAAAGAGAATCATAGGGAAATGTAGGAAAGTAGATGAGACAGACTCAGAGATACTGGTATGTGTGTGTGTGTGTGTGTGTGTGTGTGTGTGTGTGTGTGTGTGAGAGAGAGAGACAGAGAGAGAGAGAGAGAGAGAGAGAGAGAGAGAGAGAGAGAGAGAGAGAGAGAGAGAACAACTTAGTGGAGTCAGTTTTCTCTTCCACCTTTATATAGGTTCTAGAGATCAAACTCATGTCCTCATAGCAAGCATTGCCCACTGAGCCATCTTGTCAGCCTATTAATTATTATTTTTTTTAAATCAGGCAACTGAATACATCATTGTTCCTTCATTACTAAAACAGCTTTGTTCCCATGTGCTGGATTCAGTATAAGGAACGTTCCATTTGAAGCTTTGGACATACAGAGACAGAAAAGTCAGGCATGGCTGTGTCTAGAGCCCAGAAGAAAATCAGAATCAAAGATGGAAGCCATTATCTTCGTTGTTGAGGTCGTACATGAAATGATCTGGTTTGGGAGAGCAGTAAGAAGAAACTGATACAGAATGGGCAGCTGGAGTTGAGGCCCTGTGCACAAAAGATAAACAATGGAGAGGAGGAAAAGGAAGTGCAGGGAAGAATAATACAGAATAAGGTGAAGACACTTCCAAAGGGTGTGACCCAGTACACCCAAAATGGGCACGGACAAGGGAATAATAGAAGACGTTTCTATTAGCTTCTGTAGAGTAGATGTAATTGGTAGTAAAAGAACAGTTTGAATACAGGGATTAAACTACTGCCCAAGAGCCGCATCTGGCCTGCCTATTTTTTATTTGTAACTAATATTTAGTTGTTGTTATATTTTTAGATGGTTGAAAAAAGAAACAAAGGTAAATTATAGCTTGCCATCTGTGAAAATTATGTTAAATGTCAATTCAATGACCATAGAAATGTATTTAAATATAGCCAATATCAGCTATTTATGTTAGCCTGTAGGCTCTAATGAGAAAGCTTAGCAGTTGCAACACAAGCCCTATCTACTTGAAATACCTCAGAACTGTACAGAAGCAGATTGCTGCCCCCTTGTTGGTGAAACAGTACTGCAGATGCCAAGTTACAATGGTAGGGATCAGGGATGAATGGTAAAGAATTAAAGGAACCAGTGAAAATCAGCCATTTTTATATTCTAGAAGGTTGCTGGAAACAGATACAGGATTTTTTTTTTCTGTGTTCATTTGTATTCATTAATAGAAAAAGACCCTTATTTGGAATGGGTCGAGGTCAAGTCTTACTACATTTATTTATTTTGTGTATGCATGTGGATGTGCGCATGCCCATGCAGAGCACAGGAATGGAGTCAGAGGATAATTCTTTAGAGTTGGCTCTCTCCTTCCACCATGAGGATCCTGAGATTGACTCAGACTGTCAATATTGGTAGCACGTGACTTTACCCACAGTCATCTACCTAGCCCCCAGAGAGCAAGCCAGGAAGGGAGGGAGGAGGAGGAGCAGGAGAGGGGGGAGGGGGAGATTCAATGGTAAGCAAGGGGCAAAGCCACTGTTCAACACAGACCAAGTTGATAACATTTATGGAGTGTCAAACTGGAAGTGAAATGTTTGAAATTGAAGAAAATGGGAAAGGAAATTGAACAGAAACACGGGCAGCAGGAATCTGAAGTGATAACAAGTTAAACTTGTCTGATTTTCTTCAGTGGCATTTGGCAGGATAATCGCTGGAGAGGAGAAACGAAACAGAGGCATCAGTTCAGGTTTGGGGTTTTTGTAAAGCAGCCACAGTAGGGGTAAAACATGAAGCGGGCTATGTTAAAGACAGTGGTGAGGGCTTGTGAAGAGAGACAGCCATGGGTTTTTACCTTGACTTTCCTTCTAGGGCGGTGTGATGTCTTGAATCTGAAATGCCAGTACCCTGCACTCTTGCATGGAATGCTTGTTCACCAGGTGGCATCACTATCTTGGGAGGAAAGACCTCGCAGGCAGAAGTAGGTCACTTGGGACAGACCTTTGAGCATTACACCTGGTCTTGGGTCCTATGCTGCTCTCCCTGCTCTGTGGTTCATCATGACGTGAACAGATTCTGCCACATGTTTGCTCCACCGTGTCTTCCCCACAATGGCAGGCTGACACCACTGAGACTGATACTCCATGTAGGTGTCTCCTTCCTTATGTTGTTGCCTCTCTGAAATCTGCCACAGTGACCCCAAAGAACTAATACACTTGGGTTACAGAATGTCACCTGGAAGATCAAGTTCTTAACAGGTGACTCTTCTCTGTGGACAGCTGGAGATGTCAAAAGAAAAAGATTAACGTGAGAGGACAATGACATTCAGAGATTGGAGTTCTTTTTTTATTTTAAATTTTTTTTATTCATTTTTACATACCAAACACAGATCCCCCTCTCATCCCTCCTCCCGCTTCCCCCACCCCTGCCTAACCCTCCTCACCCCTCATCCCCTCCTCCAAAAGGGTAAGTTCTCCCATGGGGGGGGGCAGCAAAGCCTGGTACATTCAGCTGAGGGTGGACCAAGCCCCTCTCCCCTGCCTCAAGGGTGAGCAAGGTGTAATGGGATCCAGAAAGCCAGCTCATGCGCCAGGGATAGATCTTGATCACACTACCAGGGACCCTTCAGACAGATCCAGCTGTACAACTGTCTCCTGTCTGCAGAGGGTCTAGTCTGGTCCCATGCAGATTTCACAGTGGTCAAGCTAAAGTTCGTTGAGTTCCTAGGAGCTTGGTTTAGTTGTCTCTGTAGATTTCCCCATCGGGATCTTCACTCAAGTGAGCAGGGTAGTGAAGAAAGAATAGGCTGTTGAGATAAGAGAAGAGTTTGGAATTTATTGTTTTAAAGGTTATGTCTGGAGTTTTAGTCAGCCAGAGTATCCATAACAAAATGCAAGAGGATGAATGGTTTAAACAAGAAAATTACTTTCTTGTACTTTTACAGGCTGGATATCCAAGATTAAGCCTGGTTTCTCCCAGGCTTTTCCCCAGGCTTGTAGGTGATGGAATTCCTGTCTTCACTTGTATTTCCTCTCTGTGTATACTTGTTGTCACTTCTTCATATCAGGACATCAGTCATACTGGATTTGGGATCCATCTTTGTGATTTCATTAACCACAGGTACCGTTTTCAAAACCCTATGTTCAAATACACCAGTTATGAGCTTCATTCAGCATATGAACTGGGGTGAGGGAAATACACAATTTAGTTTATAACACATTAGCACAGTATAGACAGGAATGAATGGCTGAAGTAAAAAGTAGAGGATACTTTTGGAGTTAAGACTAACAATGTTTAGCATTTTACTTTAACAGTGTGCCCAGCTGCATAATGTACCATCATGAAGCCATTTGTCTCTATGTGTGC